TGTTAAAAAATAAATAATTTATCTTGATTTAAAATTTAAAAAAACAATTTATCTTTATATTTTAAAAAAAATTAATATAATCATACCCACCGTTTTTAAGAATGGATTTGAGTTTCTGCCCTTAACAAAATACCTTCCTTCCTTCTATTGCGTAGAGAATTAGAGATTTCTTAAAAATCATATTAATATTATTTTATTAATTTAATATCACTAAAAATCCTTAAATTTAACGAAAAGAAGCTATTGTCATCCTTCTAAAAAAAATATAAAAATCCCTAAAATTTGGTGAAGAGGTCAACTGTGGTCCCTCCCTTAACATCTGTTAAAGAAAGAAAGTGTCGATATGGCGCTAACGGTGTTAGCAAAATGCTGACACAGCATTAACACCGTTATGTAGGATTGGAAATACATTTTTAACCTTTATATATTATTACCCACTCATTTAATATTATTTAATTAGTTAATTTATGTTAATGGATCTATAGTTTAACCCATATAAAATTATAATAACACGTGTCCAAAATAATAGTCTATAAAGAAAAAAATTGCAATTTTGATTTTTCACCCAAGAGGAAAAAAATGAAAAAATCCGTTTCTATTCAAATGGATTCATAATACATGTGGGCAAAAAAGGAAATTAAATGGGTCCGTTGATAGACTTTCGGACGGCGTCAAGATGTGTGTTGACAGAAGGATGACACTTGGCCTCAAAGTTCTAGGAATGTTTTGAATTGTTTTTTAATAAAAGGATGATAATGATTTCTTTTTGTGAAGTTTAAAGATTTTTTTATTGATATTAAATTTATTTTATTCAACTTATATCAAATTTTTTTTAAAAAAAGGTGAAATGCTTCGTGCCGTTGAATGAAAAGGAAGTCTGCAGATGTCACGCACTGAGACCCAATTTGTTATTTTCTTTTTTTTTGTTAAGATGAAATTCAAACCTCATATATTTAATTTTTAGTATAAAATATTTTTTAGGAGGATGAGATAGTTGTTAAATTATAAAAATATTTTCACTTAATTTATTAATTTAGTATTTTTAAAATGTTAAAGTATTACTGGAAAAAGATCTCTTACAAATACACCTCCAATTAAAAAGAGTTTTGTTTTTATTTTTATTTTTAAAAAGAATAATAAGAAAAACAAGAATTTTTTCGTTATTCTATTTTTTGAGAAAAAAGAAAGGATTTGTTTAATGTGTCCTTAAAACACATGTTAAAGTACAATAAATAAACTTTTTAATTATTAATTTACACAAAAAATAATAAAAATTAAAATTTATTTTAATATTATTGTTACATAAATAATTTTATTTAATTAATTAATT